AAAAGAAAAAAGAAAAGAATCTTCACAGCAATCTTAAGAAGCAGATATTGTCATCCTCATTTGGGAGATGAGGAAATAGATGCTCAGAGAGGGCAAGAGATCTGCCTGAGGTCACACAGCATCTAAAGGGCAAAAGGATTCCATCCCAGATTTTCAGCCCCCATGGGTAAGATGGAAGAACATCTATTTCCATCCTACCCCCAGAGTCCTGTAAGCACACTTTCCCCCAGACAGTGTGGAGAGAGATTTGTAAAGAGGACCTAAGACACAGGCCGAGAGGACACGAGCCTCTGCGTGGGGGAACTTCATTGCCACTGAATTCCTCCAACACTTGAGCTCCTCTGCTGCCTCCCTGCCATGTGACGGCCAGGCCTTTGCATACTTCCAGGGCGGCTCACCATAACTCAGAGAGCGCTGTGCTCTAGAAGGGGTTGATGTGATTTGGACTTGATGCCCTTGGCAGCGGGGAGCCTGTTATGTGGAAAGAGGTGTTTGGGAAAGAGCACCCCAGAAGCTGTGTGCAAGGAGTGAGGGGCTGGATCTGGGCAAAATGGGACACACCTGTAGCCCAGCGGCCAGTGAGGAAGCAACATCATAAATGGTCCGGGCCTGCCCAGGTGCACTGGAGAGAGAGAAGAGGCTTCTAATTGGGTCAGGGAGAGGGGAAACGGGAAAAGAACAGAGAAATCCAAGGTTTACAGTCCAGAAGTAGGAAGAAATATCATGCTTTTGACAGGAAAAAAGGGAACTGGGGGCTCCTGATCTGAGGGTCCAGGCTGCCCCTGGGATGTTCATACAGAGGCTTCCAGCTCCCCATCAGGTTTCAACAGGAGTTTCCCAGGCTCTGCTGAGCTGAGCCTCAACCACTCTCCCCAAGTCTGGGTCAATTCAGCCCCCTGCTAGTCAATACAGTACCTTTCTTCATTAGAAAAGGACAGCCTCCCTCAAAACACTTTACTGACATCTGTTGGCAAACTGGCTTAATACCTAGATACTGTTGGAACAAGACATTTGACTGCCATCTGCCGGACAATTCTCACTATAAATATATCATCTATGATATTGTATCACAGTCTGCTAATCTGCAGTTGGGGGCAGAAGACATCCTTAGATGAGGTATGCTTCTGCAGTGTACAACCTGCACAACTGTACATGGAGCCCCTGGGCATGTGTGTCCACACCCCTTCCTTCTTCCCAGGCTGCCCCTGTGTGGGATGGCAAAATACTAAGATCAAGTCAGACCTTGGGGAGAATCCACTGCTGTGAACTAGGCCTCCCTGACACCTAGGAAGGAGGAGGCCAGGGAGCCATAGGCCAATGGGAACCATCATGATGGTTAAAGGCAAGATTTGCCTCCAAACCTCTGACTCAGGAAATGGTTCCTGCACAGATGTAAGGTGAGTGGACAGCTCTGCACCTGCTAGGCCCGTGCTGTCCAGGAGAGGGTGCTGTGCGGCTGCCGGAGTATCAGACCAGCAGACTCCAGAAACGCAGCACACGCCTGGCCAAGGAGCCCTCAACACACACCCAAAGCTTCTGATGCTCTCAGGCGTGGCTCTCTCTGTTTTCTCTGTGACTCTGGTTTGGTTTCTCTATTTCTTAGCCTTCCTCTCTGTCGATCTCTATTTTTCTATGCCCGGGTCTCTGACCGTCCTTTCGCAGGGCCGCCTGTCTCCACTTCTCTGTCCGTAGCTCTCTATAAACCTGCTTCTCTCAGCCTCACTCACCACAGACTCCAGACACACAAGCCTGCACACGCCCTGGTCTATGGGACACTCTGGTCCCTTCAGGATGGAAAGCTGGATGCCAGGGCCGTGCTGCACTCCTGAAAGACTTCGGTCAGCCCAGGTGTGGGGTGAGCTGTGAACCCATGCTCCCTCATCAGCCTTCAACATTCCCAGGCTGCACCCCACCCCCAGGCCCTGGATTGCTCCAGATGCCAGGTAACCCCAGTCAGGAGCAGGGGCAGGGCTCTTTTGCTGGGGTCCCTAGAGGGGAGAGCATTCTGGTTCAGCTCCTGCCCGCAGCTCCCTACTGGGGCTGAAAGGGGTGAGGGTGATGGGGAATGGGGGAAGGGAAGAGTGCCGATGGGCAGGACCAGACTCTGCTTCTTTCAGCCCCAGCCCTCAGGACACGCCAGGACTCAGGAGCCAGCAGAGACCGGCGGTCGGGAAGCCTCTCTGGCCGTGTCCTCCGCAATGCCAGAAATTCCACCAGAGGCTTTAACCCCCTCGATTGAAGCCTCCATAGGCGACAGCATAGCATGGTGATTAGAGGCAGAAATGCCAGCCTTTGTTACACCTGCCTGTAAATCCTGGTTTGGTCACTCGAACTAGCATTTGCAATATGACCTTCAAGCAAGTTACTTAAGTTAGAAAGCTTTTCCAGGGCCTTGGTTTTCTCATTTTTAAAAATGGGGCTAACTGCAGATACACTCGTGCACAGGCAGGCTGCACCAGGCTATTCACTGCCGCCTCATTTGCAGCCGCTGACAACTGAAAACAATCTTAGTGTCTCTCAGCAGAAGACTGGTTGAAGAAGTTCTGGAGCATCTGCACAGTGGGGTGCAATGTAGCTGGGCAGAAGGATGAGGAAGCTCTCAAGTGCAGGGGCAACCTCGGTCTCCAGCATTTGCAGTTAGTTAAAAAAAAAAGCAAAGTCCAGAAAAATGTGTAGAGTACACCGCTGCTTCTGGTATAAATGACACAATCCTATTATATATTATTTGTTTGCTAGGCGAATACCACTTCTGGAAGGCCTCACAAGACACAAGGCCTGCCTTCAGGAAGGGGACCTAGGGGACAGAGTGGGGAGGAGACTTTCACGGCATACATTTTTTATATTGTTTGATTTTAGAATGAGTATACTACAGATTATACTGTTTAAGTAGTAAAATTATATTTTTTAAGTAGTAAAAATCTATCTATCTATCTATCTATCTATCTATCTATCTATCTATCTATCTATATTTTTGAGATGGACTCTTGCTCTGTGGCCCGGCTGGAGTGCAGTGGCACGATATCAGCTCCCTGCAACCTCCGCCTCCCAAGTTCAAGTGATTCTCCTGCCCCAGCCCCCCAAGTAACTGGGATTACAGACGCCTGTCACCATGCCTGGTTAATTTTTGTATTTTTAGTAGAGATGGAGTTTCACCATGTTGGTCAGGCTGGTCTCAAACTAACTGACCTCGTGATCCGCCCACCTTGGCCTCCCAAAGTGCTGGGATTACAGGTGTGGGCCACCGTGCCTGGCAAAATCTAAAAAATTTTAAAAGATAAAAAACAGGACAGGTGTGGTGGTTCACGCCTGTAATCCCAGCACTTTGGGAGGCCAAGGTGGGTGGATCACTTGAGGTCAGGAGTTTGAGACCAGCCTGGGCAACATGGTGAAACCACGTTTCTGCCAAAAATACAAAAATTGGCTGGGCATGGTGTCTCAAGCCTGTAGTCCCAGCTACTTGGGAGGCTGAGGCAGGAGAATTGCTTGAATTCCAGAAGCAGAGGTTGCAGTGAGCCGAGATTGTGCTGCTACACTCTAGTCAGGCCACAGAGTGAGACTCCATCTCAAAAAAAAAATCCAGGACATTCTAACAGACCCTGCATCTTGGCATCATGGGGCGGTTAGGAGGATCTGATGGTCCCCCATGGGGACACCCAGTCAATGGGCGCCATGATGGACTACTGCTCATTTGCTGCAATCTCTGGATGAGGTAGATGGGGACACACACAAGCCAGCCGCTGTGCTGACACTGGAGACCTTTCCTACTCAAAACATGATCTGTGCTCCTACAGTATCAGCATACACTGCCCAGGACACATCTCATTTCATTTAATTCTCACTACCCTGCAGGTGGGGTCAGTTGTCAGCCCATCTTAAGTGGGAACCAGATAGAAATGCGGGTTCTCAGGCCGCCCTAGATCTCCTGAGTCAGAACCTGCATTTTTGCAAGATGCCCGGAGGTTTTGTGCACACATTAAAGTTTTCGAATCAGTGGTATAAACAGTAGGGAAAGCAGAGAAACTCCGAGTTGGCTCCTGGCCTGCCCCAAAGGGAGGGCCAGGCCTGTGGGAAGCTGGGGAGGACCCGGCAGGAGGGCTGGGAACCCAGATGAAAGAGCTCTTGCTCCACACTCTCCCATCTCCACGTTTGCCCGGGCCCTGCGAGGGTTTGGTTCTCTGATTGGGAACCTGGCGGGCCCCTCCTGTTACTCCCTGTGCTCAGTCCCGCCCTTGGGGTGGAGCCAGTGGTGTGCAGGGGGCCTCTCACCTTCATCCCGGCCACGTCGATGCGGGTCCTCACCTGGAACTGGGCGCCCACCTGGATCACCCTGGGCACACAGTACAGCAGCATGTTGTTAAACTGCAGGAGACACAGGCGTAAGTGCGCCGTGGCAGGACCGGGTGGGGCCTCCCCGAGGCTGGGCTGAGCACCACTGGACCCCCCTCCCCTTTGACCACAGTCTGGCCAGCTCACAGGACGTCACAGGTGATGATGCAGGTGATGAGGAAGGGGCTGCCAAGCTCCCAATGCCCCTAGGATGGTTACTGAAGAGCCACCCTACCTGTGGGCATCAAGGGACCACAGCAGACCTCAGAAACCTACAAGGCCTTTCTCAACAGGGGCTCAGTATGGCAGGGGTTTATAAGAGGTTCTAGCTGCCTCCCCCAGGCCTCCAGGCAGGACCACCTTTCCAGATCTCAGGAAACCCCTGGCTTCTTCTATGCAAACCCAGGGCAGTTCTTCCTAGGAGCTAACCTTACTCCCTCCTGCTGTGCTCTCTCTAGAGCACAGATTAATACCACAGGCTTTGGAGTTCAAATTCACAGACTGAGTTCAAACTCTGATTCTGTTGTTTCCTACGACATGTCTGGGAAACCTGTGGGTTGGAAATCTCCGAGGCTTGGAGGCAGCAGGTGACCTGTCCAAAGTCACCTGAGTGCCAAAGCAGAAAAGGACAGAGAAGTGGCCGCTTCCCTGTCCCCCTGCAGTGCCAGGTAGAGGCCAGGAAGCATGACTCAGGCCAGAGTGGTCCATGGACTTCCCTCACCAGTATGGAGAGGGGCTCCCAGCACATCTCTACCAAGAAAAGGTAGCGCTCTAGGGGGTCGCTGCGGCGGAAGGAGATCTTGAGGACCGGGCCCTCGCGGAGCAGCGTGTTGGAGGGGTCTACGATGTCATCTTCGAGGCCCAGGCGCTGGTATACCTCCCACAGGTCCTGCAGCCGCTCCTGGGGGGTTGGGTGCATCCTCAGCCAAGGCTGGGCAGGGTTCACCTGCTTCTGGAAGGCTTGCCTTGTGGGGACGGGGACGGGGGTATGAGAGCGAGGGCAGCAGTGGGGTAGGTAGGTGTCATGGGTGGGACCAGGCTGAGACCTGCAGGGAGGGGGACAGGGCTCCAGGGGAGGGCGGGCTGCTCACCATCTCAGTGATGGCTGCATTGGAGTGCTGGGCAGCTGAGAAGATCATGTCCAGAGCCTCTGAAAGGGGCAGAGCCAGAGTTCATACCCTAAGAATCTGGAGCTGGTGGCTGGGGCTGGAGCTCCTTGAAGTTCAACAAAGCACCCTCAGGACCTGCCACGACAGCCCCCAGGAGCAGCCTGCCTGTGCAGCCCAGCCATGGGGTGTCTGAATGGTGGGAGCCCCCCGGGGCTGAGAGACTGGAAGCCACTGAAAGTTAGGCATTTAGTGTTTGGCTTTGGTGACTCTCACTGCTCCCCAGAACAAGCCAGACCTAGAGGGTATAATGGAAGGAGGATGGGCTTTAGCATCATACAGGCATGGGTTCAAATTCCAGCTCTGCTGCTTTCTGGCTGTGTGACCTTGAGAAAGTCACTAAACCTCTCTGGGCCTTAGTATCCTCATCTGTGAAAAATGGCTAAGAGTATGGATAATGTGTATGCAGCACCAATGGTTGATGTTGATGACTGATGGTGGTCATAACCATTTTAGCAGGAGCTCAATAAATATGTGGGAATGGCTTGGGCCTCCCCAGCCCCCTGGGACCCCTGGAGGTGTCCTCACTCTGGGCGTCGGCCCGGTCTGGGGCCTGGGCTGGCAGCTTCTGGATGTACTCCTTGAGGAGCAGCTCGTAGCGTGGAATTCTCTGCACTGGCTCCAGCATGTGATGCTGTAGGGTCAGGCTGCCTGAAGCCTCGCTGCTCTTGGGGAGAGATTGGGGGAGTGACAGGGAGAGGGTGAGAGCAGGGAGCTGGGTCAGGCTGCCCCTGAGGGCCAAACGCAGGGGCCTATGGAAGCAGCTGAGCCTGGGAGATGCCCTAAATCACTCAAGGCAACCTGAGCCACTGCAGGCTGGGAGTGGCAACGCTGACTCCAGTCCTCCCCCAGCCTCACCTGGATGCGAGCAAGGACCTCCTGGAAGAGTGGAGACTTGTCGGTCCAGGTGGCCAGCAGCTCAGCTGCCCGCTCAAAGTTCTTGACATACTCACTGTACATCTTCAGGAAGGGGGCCAGCTTCTGGATCACATCACCGATGCGGGGGGTGGCTGTCCTGCAGGAGGGCCACGGGGATTGCCCTCAGCCTGGCCACCTCCTCTCGACTCTAGGGAGGACCAGGTGAGGCCAGGCTCCCTGAATCCCCCAAAGCAAGCTTTCCGAGGCAATTCTGGGTGCAGGCGGGGCACAGGGGTGTCATCCTCACATGTGTGTGCCCCTCTGCTCCTTAGACTGTGAGCTCCCCGAGGGCAAAGGCTGTTCTGGTCCCAGTTTGGCCTCATCCACAAGGCCCAGCATGGGGCCCACAGCAGGTGTTCAGTGACCGCTCTGTGCTCCATTATGTAACAAGAATGAGGGCCACCTGCCAAGCACTACCCAGGATGTGCCACGCGTCTCATTCCATGTAATTTTCATAACCCTGAAGTGGGGGACGGCCACCAGCCCATCTTAGAGGTGAGGAAGTGGAGGCTCAGAGGGGGGAGAACTTCTCCAGGATTGGCTGGGCACAGTGGCTCACACCTGTACTCCTAGCACTCTGGGAGGCCCAGGCAGGCAGATGGCTTGAGCCCAGGAATTCAAGACCAGCCTGGGCATCATGGTGAAACCTGATGTCATGCCCCCCCACCACAAACTATATATAGAGTTTAATATATGTATAGTGTATGTAAATGTTTTAAGCAATCAGTACATATCTATGTTTTAAAGAACTTCTCCAGGATCACCCCGTGGTGGGGCTTACTAGAGCAGAGCAGCAAGGAGCCACGGCCTGGGCGTGGGGCTTCCTGAGCCTGACTCTTGGGTTGCACCAATCGTGCTGACTGTGTTTCCAGGCAAGTCACTTAGCCTTTTTGTACCCTAATTTTCTCATTGAAAAAAATTGGAATGGTGGCAGGTGATCTCATAGGGTTATTCTTTTTCTTTTTTTCTTCTTTTTTTTTTTTTTTTTTTAAGACAGAGCAGGGTTATGCTCTGTCACCCAGGCTGGAGTGCAGCGGTGCGATCATGGCTCGCTGCGGCCTCGGCTTTCCAGGCTCCAGTAATCCTCCAACCTCAGCATCCTGAGTAGCTGGGGCTCCAGGTGCCTGCTACCACGTTGGCTAAGTTTTGTATTTTTGGTAGAGATGGGGTTTCACCATGTTGCCCAGACTGGTCTCACTCTTGAGCTCAAGTGATCCTCCCACCTCAGCTTCCCAAAGTGCTGGGATTACAGGCGTGAGCCACCAAACCTGGCTGTTCTTTTCTTAAACAGAAAAAAAAACCAATTTATTATAAATGTTTTAAGCAATCAGCACATCACTGGGTTTAACGGTTACTAACATTCTTCTTTGCCAAAGCTCTTAAAGGATATCCTAGACTTCACGGCAAACTATATGAGGCAAGTAACCTCACTGCTGACTGCTTTAGTGGCCATCTCTGAAAACAAGAGGGTTTCCTGGTAACCATGACGCCATCATCACACAGAAGGCTGATGTGAAGACTGAGTGAGTTAACGGGCAGAAAGCCCAAGGCCAGGCATGTAGGAAGCCCTCAGTTAGCACTGGCTATTTTCACTGTCCCCAAAATCACTTGGTCACTTGGCCTGGCCAGGACCTGATCCACCCCTTCCCCAGGAAGCAGTCTGCACACACACAGCCCCTCAGGGCCCATTCACCCAAGCCGCTCGCTGTGCAGACAGACCAATCCCCCGGGAGGAGACTGTTGTGGCACACAGCAAGGGCCTGGGTCTAGAAGGTTGAACCCAGTGCCTGGGGGCTCCCCACCTCCACCCGGACAGGGCTGTGGTCTGGGGCCTCAGGGGCTCCCAGTGGACCTCACCAGTCGTCCAGGCGCCGCTGCAGCTCTGGGAGGAAGAACTGAGAATGGAATTGGTAGATGGAGGAGATGTTGGAGAAGATGACCCTGACCACGTCCTCGGGGAAGGCCTTGCTGCTGCGGGCCGCCCTCAGCAGCTCCTGGAAAAACACCTGCAGCCGCCACCACTGGTCACTCACTGCAGTGACAGGGAGCCACCCACACACCGGCCCGGGAGTAACCGGGGTCCCACCCAGCCTACTGCATGCTTCCACCTCCCCGGTCTCCCGGCATCCTCACACCAACCCTGGGAAGAGAAGGCAAGGGAGGTTGTGTTCTGGCCACTTTACAGACGGGCAAGGCAAAGCCTAGAGATGCAGGGACTTGGCCAAAAGCTGGCAGCTGATGAATGTCATAAACAGGCCCAACTTGGGTCTGTGGAGGTCTTGGACTTCATCAGACTAGAGCTCCCTGTGGGGATGAGTAACCCTCTAGCCTTAGGGCTCCTTAAAAAGTGTGAAAGGTAAAATCATGGTGAGATTGTGGGCATTAGGATGACAGATGAGGGTGCCATACAGGCCTGCAAGGGCCAGCTGGTGTGTTCTCTGCTGGACAGGGGCCAGCCTGGGCACCATGGGAAGAATGGGGAGTACTGATTCTATCCCAACCCCAGCCAGCGAGGCCAAAGGGCTAAGGCTTCCTGGAGTCAAAGTCCTGGTGAGCAGGAAGGGAAGGCTAAGCAGGGGTGGGGTGAGGAGACCCAGGGCTGGGGCTCTGGAGGGGGGTGTCCTGGCCACCGGCCTGGTCTAGCAGGTGGAGGCGTGCCACATAGGCCTGCTCTGTCTCCAGCAGCTCCTGGACAATCTTCTTCTCTGGGTCCTGCAGAGGATTGGAGGTGAGAGAAGGAGAAGTCTTTGGTCTCCTCTGATGGGAACCTTAGTTCAGTCTCCAAAGTTGCCACAGAGAAGCACACCTCCTGGGATTCATGCGCCTCCACCCTACCCCCCAGCCCCCTCCCCACAGTGCATCTGGGCCAGCCTTGAGATGGCTTTCACAGAGAATGCTGCTGAGTAAGGCTCTGCCATTTCTCGGCCTTAGCTTTAAGAGGCCTGGAAGCTTCCACCTGTGCTGTCTTCCACCAGACCCCTTGATGTGAACCACTACATCAAGGGGTCTGGCAGCTCTGCTAGGGAGACCTTGTGGACAGGCCACATGGAGAAGAGAGGGCTGGAGAATACATGGAGGAAAGAGCCCAGCCCTGCCAGCATCCCAGCTGAGCCCCGTCTTCCAGCCTCCCCCGCCCAGATGCCAGGCTTGTGAATTGATCTGTCTTGGGCATCCCAGCCCCAGCCACCATCTGATTGCAGCTACTTGAGAGATCCTGTTAGGAACTACATTGTGTCCCCCAACCAAATGTTGAAGCCGTAATGCCCAAATGTAAGTGTATCCCAAAAGTGCTGGGATTACAGGCATGAGCCACCGTGCTCAGCCACGTTTTTTTTTTTTTTTTTTTTTTTTTTGAGGCAGAGTCTCGCTCTCTCACCCAGGCTGGAGTGCAATGGTGCAATCTCGGCTCACTGCAACCTCCACCTCCTGGGTTCAATCAATTTTCCTGTCTCGGCCTCCTGAGTAGCTGGGATTACAGGCGCCCATCACCACGCCCAGCTAATTTTTGTATTTTTAGTAAAGACAGGATTTCCCCATGTTGGCCAGGCTGGTCTTGAACTCCTGACCTCAGGTGATCTGCCTGCCTCGGCCTCCCAAAGTGCTGGGATTACAGGTGTGAGCCACTACGCCTGGACAGCCACCACATTTTTGAGTGATTTGCTCAGCAGCGATTGAAAACCAGGACACATTACTATAACCACCATCCCCATTTTGCAAATGAAGAAACTGTGGCACAGAGACTCAAGTGACTTGCCCAAGGACACACAGTTAGGAAGCAGACATGCTGGGACGTGACTCCAGGGAATTTGGCTGCATGGTATCTGCATGCAAACCCTTGAACTCTGCAGATGAGAAAACTACAAGCCACAGAACAGATCAGACCGGGCTTTAGTCTAAGGGCAGGAAAATTCGCACTCAGATCTCTATTTCTAGGTTGGGGTTGTTGTTTCCTCCAGTGGGTAAACTGAGGCCCCACCTGAGCAGGGAACCAGGTTCACAAGATGGAGACTGTTCTGAGCTGTGTGGCCTTGAATAAGTGCCTTAAACTGTTAGTGTTCAACTTCCTTGCCAAAAAACTCCCACACGAGGGACTGACAAAGGAATCCAGCATGGTGCATCGTAGGCAGTTAGATCAAAGGCCATTAAGGATTGGGAAATTTAGCTCCCAGCTGACATCTGGTTGCATGAGACCCCCTCCTGGGGAACTGCTGGATCTGGCTAGGGGAGAATGTGTGGAGGGGAGGTCAGGGGGAGCTCCCCACCCCAGAACCACACCTCTGCCCCAGCCCTCAGGCACCTGCATCCCCGATCCTGGGAGGGTCCCAGGCTGGCAAGATGTCCTCCAGGCTCCGCTGGACAGTTTGTTCTTCAGGGAGCTCAGGTACTTCCTGCTGACTGTCCTGGGCTCAGACTCCACGGCCTCCCTGACGTTCAGCTTCTCCCGTGGTCCTGGGGACTCGGGAGGCCTGCACCCAGGGCGGTTATGCGCATCCTCTAGCCTGTGGTCTCTGGGTGCTCCTCCTGGGGTCCTGAGAAGAAGAGACAGACCTGAGAATTTCCTGCCCGGAGAACAGGGAAAACAGCAGCAAGTCCCTGGTGTGGATCTGGGTAGCCTGGTGCAAATCTGCAGGGCAGGGGCCCCTGAGTGCTAAGGGAACACTTGGGAACATGCTAAGTAAGACTTTCACTTCTCTCCCAATACATTCTTGGAGGGAACTCAGTGTTCAAAATGAGTCAGGGTGGGCCGTATTTTATTTTCTGGGGAGCTACATACTTCCTTGTTTAAAATGAAGCCACAGTGTCCAGGAATCCTCCTTTCTGTGTATAGGAGTTTTCAAGTGGTTACCCCTGGATCAACCTCACCTTTGGACCTCACCCGTTTTCAGTTTCCATGTTGGTAATCTATACGTCAAGGGAAGGTGGGAGCCACAGAACAATCTAAAGTGAGAGCAGGCCTGCAAAAGCTGGGGCTTCTCAATGGGATTGACACCCTCCACACGTCCAGAAGCAGGGGGAGCCAGTCCAACAGCAGATTCTCTGTTCTCCCAGGGATGGGCCTTCATAGGGCAGCTTTATTACCCCATGTACTGGGATCTGCAGACCAGTCAAATTCTTTAGATAACAGAGCCTTGCTGAATATATCCAGCATTGCTCTCGGTGTGAAAGACTCATGATGACAGCGTAGGGGAGGCATACTTATCAGAAAGGCAGACCAGGAAATGGAAGGCTGAAAAAATATGAAATCTCCAAAACTCCATGAGAAAGGTTTTCATTACCCATATTTTGCAGTTAAGGAAAATGAGGTCTTGACAGGATAAGTAACGTGCAGCTTGGAAGTGGCAGTGGTGGGATTCAAATCAGGCGACTGCTTCCCGAGCCTTCACCCTAATCTGCTCCTCCCCATTTGAGTAAAGGAGAAACAGGTCCTCAGAGTCAAAATGACTTGCCCCAGGTGACACATTTGGGTTTGTGGCAGCGAGAGCATTGGGACCTAGTGTTGTGTGGCTACTTCCAAGCTCTCCCAGCCCTGGTTCCTCAGCCCTGGTTCTCCCAGCCCTGGTTCCTCAGCTGCAGACACAGCTCATGGGAGTAGCTGGCTCTCAGGCTTTCTGTTCTACATTTGGTTTCAGGTTCTGCATTTCTGTCCTAGTGCCCCTGGCCAACTTCTGTTTCCTCTTTGCCCCTCAGTTTCAGATCAGCTAAGGTGCTAGAGACCTCATAAGTAAGCCCAGGCCAAGGCAGTTGGCATGGGTCCCCTCACTCAGTAAGGGGTGGCTCTCACCCTCTTGATGATGCCTGCTGGGACCTCACTCCCGTCTAAGGGCTACCAGCTCCTGCCAGGGGTGTGGCCTGGGCAGAGCACAGCATGCTGAGGGGCTCCACCCCAGTGTGCCTACTCCAGTCAAGCACGTTGAGTGAGGTGGTGCTATCCACCCCACACTCAAGGTGGTGGTGGGCCAGGAAGGCGGCACCTAAGAGCTGTCCTTGGTGCTGAACAGGGCGAGCTTGGCAACGACCCTGGAGAGGCAGGGGAGAATTACCCAGCTCAGGAAGTTGAAGACTTCTAGGTCTCCATCTATGCCATCTCCAGCCTGAAGCCTACAGGAAACGTTGTCTGCCATGAGTGCCCTCAATACAGCATCTGGATCATTCCTAGGACATCTACTGTCCATGATCATGGTGAGCAGGTGAGCTTGGCATCCAAAGACAGAAACACTTCTTCATCCTCTACGGTCCCTGTAGGGTACTGTGCTGTGCCACCCACGTCCCTCCAGGAGTGAGGCCTCCCCACACCATCCCCACCAGCTGCTGGTAGTACTAGGGGCTGATGGGTAATTTATTGGCTGAGTCCCTCTCTGGGACCCCCTCTCTGGAAGAGAGAACTGCCTCACCCAGAGTCTCCTGTCCAGTCTACATGGAGATACAAATACTCAGCCCTCTGCCTCAATTGGAAAACCAAGAGGCATCCCAGCTCCAGAGCTCCCTGGGACAGGCTAACCCTCTGTGGCAGGCGCATTGCAGCTCAGCATCTCCCCCTGCCCAGCCCTGCTTCCCTCATGCCCACAGCTGTTGTTTCCAAAAGCTGTCCCGGATAAACCACCTGAGGCAAACCTCCGTCTTAATCTATTTCCAGAAAACTCTACCTGGGACAGCCCCAACACAGTCCTGGGCTTAAAAAATGCCGCAGAATGAATTGATACCACACACACACACACAGACACACACACACACGCACACGCACACGCACACACACACACACGCACATGCACATGCTCCAGGGCTACCTATGACTCCACACATCTGGCCCAGCCCTTTCCCTCCAAGCTTTGCTCCAGAAACTTAACTTAAAGCACTTGGCATCCTCACCTGTCTGTGTCTCCATATCCTCATCTATAAGATGGGAACAGAAATAGAGTCTACCCCTGTTAGGCTGTTTGGTGATTAAATTAAATAATTAAGGAGGGCATGAACTTAGAGTAGGGAGTCCCCCATCAGTGGCTGACCATACATCCTGGTTTGCCTCATATAGTCCCAGCTTTCACTGTAATGGCCCCCCCCACCACCAAATTTTATTGGCATTTACTTTCAGTTTCTATTGTGTGCCGAGTGGTAAATTATATGGTTATTCTAATCATAGGGAGTGAATGCTTGATAAGTATCAGCTACTGTTTCTGCGAGGCGCTGGCAGGCACTGGGTCGGGTCCTGTGCCCACACACGGGCTTTGATCTGCCCATGCTTGCTCATAACCACACCTGTCTGCACTCTCACCCCTGCCTGCCTCATGGTGTCCCACCAACACTCTCCCATGCTCTGAGGAATCCGTGACCGAGGGACATGGGGCTGCTCTGGCAGGAGGAGGGTCCAGGGCAGGGCCCAGGGAGAGAGCTGCTCTCTATGAGGGTCCAAGGTGGTCCTGGCCCTGCACCACACCTGAAGGCAGGAGGGTCTTGTGCTGCCCGAGGGCCCAAGGTGGGCAGAAAGGCTGGAGGGTGGCTGCCAGCCCACAGTGGTGACCCTCCCACCCCAGCCGCCCATACCTGCTATTTTCAAACACAGTGACCAGGTTGGACACAGATGCCAGCTTCTCCTCACTTGCCCCCTTCATCATGCTGGTTTCCAGGGTGGTTCTCAGTTACCCTCGAAGCAGAGAGAGAGGCCTCAAGCCAGAACACTTAGCTGCCCTGGCCTGGGACAGATAGGCTAAATCACCCACAAATCTGCTCTCATCTTTCTCCAGGGCTCAGCAGGCCTGCTCTTGGCTTCAGAGTGAAGAAAGAGGAAGTGGTCCCGGAGCTACAGCCCTTCAGGGGAAAGGCCAGCGATACTGCAGTGGGAGGGGCCTGCTTGGGCCCCGCCTCTTCCTCATGGGGACTGACTTTTCACGCCTGTAGATCGCCATTCCAGTAGACATCTAAGAGGGGGCAACAGGGCCCAGAGGTAGTTTCTGGAGCCCAGTATGGGCTGGTGCAGTGGTCCACACCTGCAGTTCCAGTGCTTTAGGAAAGCGAAGCCAGAGGATTGCTTGAGCCCAGGAGTTCAAGACCAATCTGGGCAACATAGTGAGACACTGTCTCTAAAAAAAAATTTTAAATGTCCTCATGGAGCCAGACCCTTGGATGGTTTCTTGGCCTGGTGGTTCCAGCCAACCACGCTTTCTCCCTCAGAAGGTCCAGTGGCTTTTACTTGGTCTCTTTCTTAACACCTTCTTTTCTCCATCTGCCGCCACTCACAGCTGTAAGAAAACAGCTTCTTTTTTTCTTTTGAGATGGAGTTTTGCTCTTGTTGCCCAGGCTGGAGTGCAATGGCGCGATCTTGGCTCACTGCAGCCTCCACCTCCTGGGTTCAAGCGATTCTCCTACCTCAGCCTCCCGAGTAGCTGGGATTACAGGTGTGTGTCACCACGCCCGGCTAGTTTTATTGTATTTTTAGTAGAGAAGGAGTTTCACCATGTTGGTCAGGCTGGTCTTGAACTCCTGGCCTCAGGTGTTCTGCCTGCCTCAGCCTCCCAAAGTGCTGGGATTACAGATGTGAGCCACTGCACCTGGCCAGGAAACAGCTTCTTTTATTTAAAATAATTCACAAACCTGGTAAGGGTGGCAGGGAGTACTGTGGTGTTCCCACCTCCCCACTGGGGTTCTCTCATTTTAGTTGTTGCTGTCATCACCTCATTACCCCAAGGGAGGGCAGCTTCCTCCCTGAAACTCTGAGGTTAATAATAGCTAGCACGTACTCTTTTTCATGCTTTATGAGTATTTTCTTATTTAATCCTGTAAAAACCTCATGAGGAAGGTACTATTCCTATCCCCACTTTACATAGGAAGTAACAGAATCAGAGAGGTTAAATAACTTGTCCAAGGTCACCCAGGAAGAATGCAAGAGAAATTGGATTTCCAAAGCAAAGGTGGGTGTCCTATATAGTACCAGCAAAGATTCATTGGGAACCTGGGTGACCATGTTCTTGCTGCTCCAACCCCAGGCCTCCCTGCTCCTAAGACACTGGGTTGTCTCTGCCAGAGGCCTCTTGTACCACTTGGTCTCCCGGCCCTTCCAGAACAAATGGCCGCTGCCTCTATTCCCCTGTTTCGAGTCCCACAGGCCGTTCAGGGCTCTCCCACTGGGCTCTGGTCTTTGCCCTGAAGTGCAGGGCCTAAGCCTCGGTGCTCTTGGTACGTGACGCACCCAACACAGCTTCACGCTCCACCAACTGTGAACCTCTGGGGCCTCACACGCCCAATAGCCTCTCTCACCCTGAGCCTCGCCTGAGTGGTTTCTCCCACCAGATGCCAGCCCCTGCCCCAAACCCTAAGTCTCACTAATCCTGCTGACATTTTTGTTTTTTACCTTTTATTGTGGAGAATTTAGAACATATGCAAAAATAGAATAGTGCAGTGCACCTCATGAACCCCTAATCCAGACCATACAGCTCTCAGCTCACAGCCAGTCCCGTCCCTGTTCCCGTCCCTGTTGCAGCCAAAGCGAATCTCCCTTCTTGTGTCATTTTGAAGAAAATCCCAGATGTCAGATGACGTCACCCATAAACATTTCAGTGTGTAACTGAAAGGTAAGAACTCTTTAAATAACTAAACACACACACACATAAATGTATATGCGTATGTACATGTGTATAATAGGTAACACTGTTTTTCATAGACGTACAAGTTTTACATGCTATATCCATGTGTATATACATATGAAATAATATTACCGTTATCATACCCCAAGAGATATTTAGCAAGAATTCCTCATTATAATTAAATATCCAGAAAACATTCCAAGTGCCAATTCCTCATCAATGTTAAATTTAAAAAAAAATCAGAATCCAAGTAAGGATCACATATTCCCTGAGCTGTCAGATGGATGAACTCACTTTTCATCCACAGGTTCCCCTGGTTCCTTCTGTTTTCTCACACAGTATAGTGGAGGGGGCACCGGGTTGTTGGTCCTATAGGTTCTGTGGCCAGCTTTGCCCACTGAAGCACCGTACCCCGGATTTCCTGTCGATGGTGGGTAGTTCTAGAGGCTCGGTCAGAATCACCCTTAAATGCCACTTCTTCCCGATGCCCTCCCTGGCCCGAGGCGCCGCCCTCCCTGGTGTTCCTCTCTGGGGTTTCCTCCTCTGCCTCCCACCAGTCTGTCTGCTCACAGGTGGCTCACTCCCTCCACGGGGGGGGCGAACCTGAGCATGTGCACTTCCTGGTGGGTCCCCAACCCCAGTGCCTGTCCCGCCTGTAGTGGGACCTCAGAAGGCACGTGGGATGGACAGACGTCACACCACAAGCCTCAGAGGATTGTCTCACCCCTCAGCTGCCAGTGCTTTGAGCATCCAGAGGAGGGTCTGGGCCTGAACAAGGGGACCTGCCCCTCCTGTGGGGCTGGAGGGTGGTAGGTGGGTCTTCAAGAGGCCTCCATACCCTAGCCCTGAAGATGGCACAGGCACCATCCCAGGTGCTTCCCTCCAGGAAAAAGAGGCCAACATGTCTACATCCCCAAAACAACCTCCCCTCATCATCCAGGCTCTGCTGCCCCTGCCCCCTACCACAACGACCTGGGCCCCTCACAGTCTGCCAGCCTTTCTGCCTGTGCCTGGAGACATCACCTGAGGCTCAGCCAGGGCCTTCTGGTCTCCTCATTTACGCACACCTCCCACCCAATTCAGAATTTTTCCGAGAAGTCCCACTGGTACCTTTTCCTGTCCTTCCACCTGGTGGATATGTCCAACACCTTCAGGACATTACCAGGTAGATGTCCTACATTTGCTTCCAACTCAACACACAACTCTCTAAAGCCAGCAGCACCGTTATTGCGCTGAAGTCATCCCAAACTCACTGGGGCAGCCGTCAAGATCCTCCTGGTTGACACACTCAGCTACCTTCTCCCGGCATACACCCAGTCTGGGTTGGGATCCTGGCCTGCCGGGTACTGCGGCTGAGCTAAGCTGAGCCACAGCCCCCGAATACCCTTCCCTGCATGGTCTGAACTACCGTTAGCCATGGATGCAGCAGGGGACAGAGCAGCCCGTTTTGTTCCTGGGTCGGTGCAGGGCTCCAGCCCTGTTGCAGCTCATGCGTGTTGATGCGGCTCTGTGGCTTCTTCACCGATCTTCCTTTCCAGCTTGTCCAGCTCCTGGGCCAGGTGCATGCTTAGCTCCAGGACAAAGATAACCTGTGTCATCAGAGTCGACGGCTTGGAGGTGGCCACCTATCCATTCTCCAGAATCCCAGCTCTTCCTCACTCTTTCAGATCCTCTTTGCTCCCCTCACCTCACTGACAGCTTCCCCTCCCCACTGCCTGCCCTGCTGACTTTAGACTCAGAAGTGTTAACTCTTTATGCAGCTCCCACACTGTATAAGGTCAAATTCTGTATTCTGTATGGGATCCCTGCAGTTCCAACTTGGACATCTCTCCTTCACCCTCCCTCACTCCCTCCCACCTTCCACCGCCTGAGCTGCAGGGAACTGAGCTCCTCTATCTTCTGTATTGTGTCACTTCTGTATTGCTTCTCTGTAACACCTTGGACCAGTAACCGAATTTCACCTTCCTCTTCTGCGACATGGGGATAATTATACTGCCAACCTCCTGTGGTTGTTATTCAGATTAAACAGGATAATAATATGTGGAAGATTGAGTAAGACCTGGTACTGAGGAGGCACTCAGTGACTGTTGGCTACCAGCATTCTTACTCCTGAGAGAAGGCTTTGCTATGGCTCTGCTCTGCCTTCACCATCAGTTCCCTTTGCCTAAAGCAATGGCCCCAACCATTTGGCATGAGACACTGGTTTCTGGGGCTGGTGGGGGAAGATGGTTCTGGGATGAAACTGTTCCACTCAGATCATCAGGCATTAGTTAGATTCTCATAAAGAGTGAGCAACCTAGATCCCTTGCATGCGCAGTTCACAATAGGATTCATGCTCTTATGAGAATCTAATGCCACTGCTGATGGGACAGAGGCAGAGCTCAGGTGGTAATGCTCACCCACCACTCACCTCCTGCTGTACGGTCCAGTTCCTAACAGGCCATGGGACTCCTGGCCTAGAGTGTCTTCAGTCTGTCAAGAGCCTGTTCGCTTCCTCCAGGAAGCCTTCCTTGATACCTACTGCTGTAAATTCCTTTTCTTCCTCAGATACCTGGTGTTCCTCTCTGTTTAATTTTATCTTTTCTGCCCTGTTCATTAAGTCGCGCATTCAGTAGACAAGTGTTTATCGGGCACCTACTATGTGTCGTCACTATGGTAGAGGTTGCAGATTAAACACAGTCCCCTGCCATTTAGCTCAGACTCTAATAAGGAAGGTGGGCCTGTTAACCACTAAAATAGGGTGTGATGAAAGCTTTGAACAAGGGAGCCATGAACATCCAAAGACGGGTCATCAGAAACTTTGTGGTAAGGTGACCTTGAAGGATGAAAGATGAAGGATGGGCGGGCGCAGTGGATCACGCCTGTAATTTCAGCAGTTTGGGAGCCTGAGGTGGGCAGATCACAAGGTCCGGAGATAGAGACCAGCCTGGCCAATATGGTGAAAACCTGTTCCTACTAAAAAAAAAAAAAAAATACACAAAACACAAAAATTAGCAGGGCAGTATACCGTGGTGGTGTGTGCCTGTAGTCCCAGCTACTGGGGAGGCTGAGGCAGGATAATTGCTTGAACCCGGGAGGTGGAGGTTGCAGTGAGCTGAGATTACACCACTGCACTCCAGCCTGGGCAACAGAGCGAGACTCTATCTCGAAAAAAAAAAAAAAAAAAAAGATGAAGGATGAGTTAACTCTGGGTGGACAAGACAGGAAGGGGCATTCAAA